GGGCTCAGAGCACGGGCATCGCCTGGGAGCTTGAGTCTCGGGCCCACCCTGGACATGCTCACTCAGGATCTGCATTTCTACAAGATCCCCGTGAGTAGCAGTAACTCGGATGAGAAACTGAGAGGATGTAGGATGTTGATGACATCGTGGCAAGGGTGGGTCTGCAAATGTTGTGGGCTCTCCCTGTGTTTGTTGCATCTGAATAAGAATGACTTCCTCTTGGCATGAAACTGAACTCCCAGGAGGACTTGCTCCAGCACAGAAAAGCCAAACCACTAATTTGAATAAATAAGCATCAATTTTATTGAATCATGAATAATTTAAGACTGGTACAATCATCAGCTTTATTCTCCATGACGTGGGGCATGATCTCCAGCAGATCACTGGCAAATCCAAAAACCTCATGACAAATGAAAATTAAATAGGGAGAGAGGGAGGGGAGGAGGAAGGGAGGGAGGACGGAAACATACCGTACACAAAATACTCAATTCCTAGTTTTCTCTTTAAAAATGGCTAGAAAAAATTCATCAAAATGCAGCACTTTAATCGATTATTTACAATTTCTATGTTACAATGAAAAAATGTACATCTTATAGAACATATTTCATAAACTGCTCCACTGGAAAACAACTAGATCAATACAGCAAACCTCCCGTTGAATATCCACAACGTTGGATTATTTTTCTTCCTTTTGAAGTAGATTCGCCACAATCAAATTTGAATATACAGAATTCTGAAGTTTAGAGCATCAGCAATTAAATAAAAAATGTTCCCAAGATACAACGAAGGTTGTAGGCAAATCCCGTTCCTGGTCCCACCCCTACCCCACCCCCAACCTTAAAGGAAAAGGCATTCCCATCTCATTTATGGCCTGTATAAGTCTTGGCAGTTTGGGAAGAAACTTTTGGCTTCCATTGGTAACTCAACATAAATGTTGCATAGAATTTCATACATTTCAAAATTAGCCTAACTGTAGAAAAAGGCAAAATGGAAGCATTTCGGACAGAGCCCTAAATGAGCACAAAGTCACTTTGTCAAAGGTGAGTGACACGAATAAAGTAAAATATGACCAAGAGGAGAAATGTGCATATCAGACAACCCTGCTTCCGAAGCTCTAGGAAGGTCACTGAGTTGTGAATCACACAAGGGCTACACTACTTGGAATCACTTTCACTAGTCAGGCAGCACCAGGGACAGAGGTCTCGGTTCTGAGCCTGGACCCAGTGGGAGGGAAGTCTGTGGGAGAGGGGAGAAGAAATGAGGTGTCGTTGAGAGAGAGAGAGAGAGAGAGAGAGAGAGAGAGAGAGAGAGAGAGAGAGAGAGAGAAGAGAGAGAGAGAGAGATATCTCAAACAATACTGGCAGGTGTCTACTCACAAGGTGACTGGGAAAACTGCCCATGAGGAACAGTCAATTTTACCTCTTCCCAAATTCACAGTATGAGCGTAAGGTCATCACTGGGAGATACATTGAGGAGGACCACTCTTCAGGTTGCCCAGAAGGCTCAGGGTTTGGCCTGTGGTCACAGGCTAACTATATGCTTTAAGGGTTTTATGAAAAACAGAACAGAACAAGACACACTCACACACCCAGATGATTGATGAAGGCTTAGCAGACGAGAGTCCGAGTTTACTGAGATTAAAACCGGGACAGTGTTGAGAGGTTTGTCCATGCACCAGTTAGTGGGAAAAAATTCCCCTTTTCCTTTCGAGGAAGGAGAAAATGGTTCTCCAATGCAGTGTGAGCAGTGTCAGGTCAAGCTCTTATGGTAAAATGAAAACACAGAGAGATGGACCTTCAGAAATAGAAATCTAAAGATGGAATAAAAACCCTGATCATTAACAGAGATGCCCCCACGGGGGTGGAATATTGATTCTCCTTATAAAACAGAAACAAACAACTGAAAGGTTTACCACACTCTGTAAGGAAGATACCAGTATGTTGAAGACACGTAGTAGCACGGCATGTAACCAGCAACATCATGTAGACCTGGAGGAACTTCTGCCTACGTGTTGGCTGGAGACTGTTAAGAACCTAAAAAAATGGATCTTTTTTTTTTTCTTTTCTTTTTCCCATAGTCACACACCCATACAAATGAGTCTTTTGGATGAGATAAAAGTCACAGCAACGTGAGTTCTCCTACTGAGTGGGATGACTTTTTAGCCCTGTTTGCTCTGATGGGGAAAATAAAAAAAACGGACCCCAGGCAGGCACGACACTCATCCATGAACACGGTTAGTACAAAACCAGTAAGGCATCACTTTGGGAAGGTCAGCACCGAAGAGGTCAGGCAAGGCTCGTCCAACGAAGCCCGAGGCTGGGGCATCCAGGAGGGAGTGGCCAGGCTGCCACTCCCTAGTTGAGTTGCATCACGTTTGTTCTGAGAAAAGTGCAAGTCTTTCGAGAGGTGACCTCACCACCCACCTGAGGTTGGAGCTGGCACGCTGGAGGTGTCGACGTGCGTTCCGAAGCCTCGAGGACAAGAAGGAAAGGCAAGGTCCCGGCTCCCCCACGTGCTGAGGACGGGGTCCCGGTCCACTCCACAGGACATGGTGACCCAGGCCCCAGTGGGAGGCGAGTGTGTGGAACTGTGAGGATGGACAACTGAAAACCAAGACTCAACTCCTGCGGTTCTCACTTTCACCAAAGGATTGATTCTGACTACGGGTGGACGGGGTGGGGGTGGGGGTGGGGAAGGGAAGGAGACAAATCTTCAAAATCAAAGAGTCAGAAAGGGAGAAACTCAACCTCATTCTCAAAGGGGTCATCAGTTCTCCGAAGGAGACCAATTCTCACTGGACACAGTGTTTGCAGAAAAGAAACCTGATTCATTTCTAAGGAGACAGACGCATGCTGTCTGCCCTGGCAGTTCTGCTCGGGCACATTCTCACTCCTGCACGCA